ATTACGCTGTTTTCTTCTTGTTTTGATTTCTTCACTAATAAAACTTTAGTTGCGAAAACGGCCTCGTTTTGTCGTGTTCGTTGTCATCACTCCGTTTTCGTCGTTTAGGCTGTTTTTATGATGAATAATGTTTACCAACTCGCCCAATTCGCTACCTTACAGAAGACAAGTTCTTTTATAGGTAACGAGTAACAAAGGTGACAATGTCCAGCTCTGAATGTCATCGGTAGTTTGCCATAGAAGGCCACTATCACACAAAAGCAACGTATGGAAAAACTAGCACGAACGGCTGGAAAAGTCCATGTCCGTGGAAGAAAGATATCTCAATATTCTACTGGTCGTTCTATCTTGTTTTCAAATATTTACAAAAGCTCCAAAGAAAATTTCAGGAACCGCGTTGTTGCGCATGCACATTCGGATTTTTGGAATTCACAGTTTTGCTTTTTCAGTTTTAAACAGACATTATTCAGTTTTCCATTTTTTTCCTGTTTTTTAAGCTGATAAAGTTTTCAGTTAGGCTTTCGTTGCCTAAACAGTAAACCACAAAAAAACACTCACAATAAATTTTTAATTTGGGAGCAATATACCCATAAACTTCACAAATATTACAATAAATAAAATTTTTCTTTTTAAGAATCTTACAAATTACTTACAAATCGGTGAGCTTTTTCCCGTATCCTTTAAAGGGCCAGTGAGCTTTCCCCCGTATCCACCGGTTTTGCGGTGAGCTTTTCTCCGGTGAGCATTTTCTCTGGTGAGCTTTTCTCCCGTGAGCTTTTCTCTGTTTCTCTAGAATTCGCGCAAAAATAGGCAAAGCAAAAAAAAAAAAAAAAAACGATAATATTTGTTGAAAAATATTTAGAGAAAATGAGGGAAATAAAAATGGCAGAGATACATATTTCACGGCATCTCTCTTCACCGTATAGTTTGTTTTATCTTAGGTCAAGGTTCAGTCGAAGGCTCGAAAACATACAACCACAAACACACATTAAAAGCGCAAGTCACGAAACATTTTCTGCCCCTGATTCGTTTAGTCGATAAAAGCCAACGCACATGAAGATAGGCGAATGACATAATGCCGTGCTTGGACGCCTGTTGGTCACATTGGCTTGTGGCAGCGACTGCGCTTTAAAATAAGGTGAAACCATAGAGTAATATAGTAAACGTAAAGAGAGGACACTGAAGCCGATTCGCGGCCCAGATAGTAGGATTCATACCCTCCGCTACGTGGCGCTTTTCCGTAATTTGGTTAATATTAATTACAGCTTTCTCTCTGAAAAAGTATTTATTTTCTAAATTTTTATGCTTTAGAGTTTTTTAAAGTACTTAAAACGACTAAATAATGTTAATCAAATACGTCACAAAAACCACGTGATGAATGGCGCCTGCCATGGCCTGTCTGCTTGCACGTCGTCACCTCTGCTCGTCCGTGCGGTCCGTGCTTCGTTCGTCCGTGCCGTACCGTCCGTGCCGTCCGTGCCGTTCTTCTCCGTTTTATGCTACAGCGTGTTCGGTCGACTTTGCTTGAAACAAAGTGACGAATGACCGCCGCGTGCTCTCATGCTCGGCGTGAGTTTGTAGAGCTGAGCGGCTTGATATGGCTTGAGCTTCTCGTGTTTCCGTCGGGCTGCCTGGACCTAGATTTTTAAACAAAAGGTAAGTCGTTTTGCTCATTTGTCTCTCGACTGTGTTGTAAAACTGGCTTTTGAATTTGCTGAGTCTGGGTTGCCGTCCGACGCCCCTCGGGCAGAGCTTTGTTCATGCGTGTTCAAGTGCCATCAGACATCTGTGGATTGCTGTTGAGAGGACTTATGCCGTCATAGATTGAAGTTAATTCACTGACTAAAGCTGGGTCGACAGTCGTTCGCAGTGCGACGAATTCGGGGCAAGGTGTACATTGAGTCATATTGATATTTTGACATGCATTCTTTCAATGGCGCGTCGCTGCTTTGATTTATCACATAAAGTACGTGCAAAAGAAGCGAACCAGCGAACGTCGCTCAAGCGAGCTACATGACTTGTGTGTACCGCCATACGAGCTGCAGTATGCTGCAGTTACGACGACAAACACATGCATAGAATTTCGGGGGAAAAAACTGCGAGACGCAGTATCAAATTTAGATATTTAATAAAGCTCCCAAGCAGCATATATATCCTATGGACGTCCACGGGACATCCAGGATAGGACATCCATGGAACTTTCGGACACTCTGAGAATGTACGGAGGACTATTCAAACATGGTTCCCACTACATCGCTACATCACCAAATGGAGCTCGAAATTTAGGTCTATGGTTCGCTGACATTATTTTCTATGTAAGAAAGCAAAATTCAAAATATTGACGGCCAATTTACCAGAAACAGTAGAGGTAGATTAGTCTTACTTATTTTGGCCGTACCGCTGTACTATGCTTAAATTCCTGTTTTACTCTTAAGGATGACATTCGAACGTTGGGTAAAACCAGTCAGACGTCACTTGAACACTTGGTTGGAGTGCTGTGGCATGGCACTCTAGACACTGCGTTCGATTATGATGCATGAAGGTTGCGTAAACTCCACAAACTTCACAATATTTCTTTCACCCGTCTGTGTTAATACGTGTCATGGGTTTATTGTAACATTGCGTCATGGCAATATCTTGTGACATTGTTTAAATCTCCATCAGTTTATTTTTTCACCAGCCGCTATTGTGCTACGTTGAACTAAAGGAACGCGCCATTGGCTAGGCTTCAGTAGATGTTAAACTCTCCCTCCCCCGCTGGCCCAGATTATGTCCTACGGAAGTTACTGCTGCGTGGTCTGGTGTGCCAACAATGGGAAAACAAAGAAGAAGCCACATGTCAAGTTTTTTCGAATTCCACGTGACCCAAGGTACGTCTAGATTCTAAGGCAGTCCTTACAACATTTGATCGAAGCATAACATTTTGAAATGAGAACTATGGTCCGTTGCAACCTAAGAACGAAGGGCGAGGGTAAGACGGGCCGGGGAGGAGGAAGCAGACGGAACACGAAACGCTAAGGAGAGAAGGAGGTTTCCCCTTTCTTCTCCAGCGTTCCGTCTGCTCCCTCCTCCCCGGCCCGTCTTACCCTCGCCCTTCGGTCTTAGGTTGCAACAAACTATAGCAAAAACGATTTCTTCCATGTCACTTTGGTTTATGGACACCAATATCTTTCAGCATTTTAAGGTTATCTTGCCTCGGACCTAAATTGATTGCATACCCTGGTGGGTATGCAATCTGTTTGTTTAGCTGTATTGCACTGTACAGTAGCATGAAGAAGAAAAACAAACTCTTCAGAACGTGAACACTTTGCTGAGAGGTGCCATACCAGACGGCAGTGAAACATTAAAAACAATTGAGGCTCATATATTTGGAGTTTATTTGACCCTTACAGTATGTGTAACCTTGGTGGTATATACAATGTTCTGCAGGTCAAAAGCATGGCTACAGTACGCCAGACGTCCTGAGCTCCTAGGAAAGACAGCCAAGGAGCTCTATGAGGGGTATCGCCTGTGTACTGAGCATTTCACAGCCAAGGACTTTTTGGATCCTGGGAAGACAAGGCTGACCAAAACGGCTATTCCTACGGTTCGGCCGCAAATGCTTAGGCCATCTGTAACAGCCCAAGGTAACATAATCTTTATTTGCAGTCTGTACGGAGTTCTGTTATATTTTGCTTTTAGGCAGCACCAACTCTACGTCACTGATGCGAGCTGCCAGCATGCTGTCATCGATGCTTGACAGTCTCAAAAGTTTTAATCTGATTTAATTAGTTTTTATTATTAGTTTGTGCTTAAATGTTTTATCTAATTCATTTAGCATTTTTGTACATTATCCCTGTAATGTCCCTGCGCATACTGTTGCCCATAACCAATATCCGTCCCAGTTTGTTGGAAAATTGTTTTAAAGCACAAGGTCAGCTGCATTGAAATACAGTAATTTGTGTCCTGCAATCAAGAAGGGCAGTTCTGCCAGTGCAGTATGACTTCTTACAGGGCATCCTAGGTTTGTAGCATACAATAGTGATATAAATGAAAGATAAGACAGGTCAACGTTCCCCTGTTCATATCCAATTCGACAAGAGGACTCATGCCGTCTGAGTCATCTTCCTGACACTCATGTTTACAAGGTTAGCTTTAGTTGCCCATGCTGTTATGTTCTCATACATTAGCATACCGGGCCGTTAAAATTTAAGATATTCCGAGATTCCTAAGTGCCTTTTCAAGACCCGCCGGATCCTGTGTTTCGCCATTGATTAATATTGCTCGACATTAATTTTCATCACTAAGGGATTTCAATGCCCTTTCAGAGTGCTGAATATTTTCTGTTCCTTTGAAAGGTAACACTACTAACCTATCATTCGCCTGTAGCAGGAATTCTCCATCAGAAGCTTTATAAGCAGGTATTCATATCTGAGAAGCCAAAATTTTTCAGAAGAACCGGTGGCAACAACATGGCCCTGTGACGTTCCATTGGAGGGAAACAGAATGTCGCATCCCACAGCAGCTTATGGTGAGATTATTTATTTTTAATTGGCGGCTCATATCGGACAAGGAATCCCTTTTCAGAAAAGCCAATAGCGGAACCAAGCCCCGGGGATGTTCGATTGGAGGGCAGCAGAACGTCGCCTTCAACAGCTGCTCATGGTGAGATCATTTATTTTAAAACAGGGGCTCATACCTGACAAGCAAACATCTTTCAGAAGGACCGATGGTGGCACCAAGCCCCGGGAATGTTCCATTGGAGGGTAGTGGAACGTCACCTTTGGGAGCTGCTCATAGTGAGATCATTTCTTTTAAAACTGCTGCTCATATCTGACAAGCAACCGTTTTTCAGAACAACCGCTGGCGGCACCAAGCCCCGGTAATGTTCCCTTGGAGGGCAGTGGAATGTCACCTTCAACAGCTGCTCGTGGTGAGATCATTTATTTTAAAACAGGGGCTCATACCTGACAAGCAAATGTCGTTCAGAAGGGCCGATGGCGGCACCAAGCCCAGAAAAATGTTCCAATGGAAAGCAGCGGAACGTCACCCTTGGCAGCTGTTCATGGTGAGATCATTTCTTTTAAAACAGCTGCTCATAGCTGACAACCAAACATTTGTCAGAAGAACCGGTGGCGACATGTCCCTGTGACGTTCCATTGGAGGGAAGCAGAGCGTCGCATCCCACAGCAGCTTCTGGTGAGATTATTTTAAATGAGCGGCTCATATCTGACAAGGAAGCCCTTTTCAGAAAAGCCGATGGCGGAACCAAGCCCCAGGGATGTTCGATTGGAGGGCAGTGGAACGTCAACTTTGGCAGCTGCTCATGGTGAGATCATTTCTTTTAAAACAGCTGCTCATATCTGACAAGCAACCGTTTTTCAGAACAACCAATGGCGACAAGCCCCTGTGGTATTTCACTGGAGGGTACCAGCGCGTCACATTCCATAGCGGCCTGTGGTAAAATAAATCTCCTACACAAATTGGGTTTATGCAAACATTCGTATTTAACAGTGACACATTTTCCAGAGCAAATGGGGATGGCCAGCTCTCCTGGCCAGCTTTTGGACCACAGCACTCCATCTTCGTCTGTTGGCTATTCTGAATCATCTGGAACCTGTGAGTATAAATAGACTTCTCTACAGATTTAAGCACTGCAAAATTGTGTTAAGTACCTCTGCATTTAGTATGCACATTGCTTCAAATTAGGTGACATTATTTGTCACTTCATTTTCGTGCTGGCCTTAATAACTTGGAACATCACTACAGGGCTCTAGGTGACGGGGAACATAAGCTTTGAAGTGTGGCACCGTGAAATGCTCTGAAAAGGGGTGGTTTCCTAGTAATCTGTGCTTACTGTAGTAATTTGCCAATCCTGTTACATACAGTTCTCATTTTGGATGACCCTGTTGAATGTAGTGATTGACTACGCGATTATTCAATATTTGAAAGATTCATCAATTTATGTTAATACAGTTTTTGTGGTGAAATTATTGCAGCTGAAAGACTAAAAGCTAGTTTAATTTTTTTTTTTCTGATAGCAGCCATTTGTGTATAAACAGTGGTAACAGAACATGCGGAGCAAATGCCCACTCACAATTTGGAGATAATCATGAAAAACGCAGAGATGTATGCTTCTTATGCCCGAAAGCAAAATTGCAGAACAGCCAAAGGTTGGGGGGAAGGGGGGTCACCACTTTGGAGGCCCGTGCACGTGTCGAGCTTCACCTTTTACATTGGTGTGCTTGGAGAAGCAGCTGAAGCGGATGAGCATTTATGTTAGGTGGGTGGGTTTTTAAGTCTGTTTATTTCGCAAACGTTTCGAAAGTGGTGGGGGGGGGGGGGGGGGGGGAAGGGTGCACATATTGCAGCATGGGTAAGTGGTCGGTATTAGGCGGTATCGTTTCTGTCGGGTTCTACTTTAATCATTTTTGTGTAGCCTGACTTATGTGCTTTCGGTATTGTTTTGGCAGGCTCTGGTCGTTCAACACCTGCTTCCGCCAAGCTCTCAAGGAGGCCCAGGGACGTCATAAAACGCCTACAAGCAAAGGTTTCCAGTTACAGAAAGACAATATCAAGACTGCGCAAGCAACATAAGCAAATGCCTCAAACAGCTGCCGAAGCACTTGAAATGGTGCGTCCGTTTGTGACAGACGAGGTTTTCGGACTTATCTCGTCACATGTAAAATTAGGGCGCAAGGGACGAGGAAAACGGTTTCCACTGTGGCTCAAGAAGTTTGCTTTGCATCTGAACTTTCATGGCCCACAGGCATACCGTTTTCTATCGTTACATTTAACGCTTCCCACTCAGCGTTCACTGCGTAGGTGGCTGTCGAACGTAAAAATGACTCCTGGTATTATACCTGGTGTCATGTCCTCCATCGAATCTCAAACGCGGTCTTGGAATGCACGTGATCGTGTCTGCACCTTGATTTTTGATGAGATTGTTTTGAAGAAGAACTTGACATACGACCCTGCACACGACATTATCCATGGATTTACAGATGACGGTGTTGAACGAACCTCGACCATTGCAGATAGAGCCCTGGTTGTTGTGCTCTCTGGAATTTCCAGGAGGTGGGTTCAGCCCCTCGCATACACTGTTGGGCACACTTCAACACCGTCTTCTGTTATCCGGAGCCTCCTGATTTCTCTCATTCCAGAGCTTAAGACTGTTGACTTCACTGTGAAGGCCGTGGTCTGTGATCAGGGGGCTTCAAACGTAAGCTTAGCCAACCAACTTGGTGTATCTGCTGATAAGCCATTTTTTGAAGTCGACAACGAACGTGTTTACTTTATCTTTGATGTTCCGCACCTCATCAAAACAACAAGAAACAATCTCCAAGCCCACAAACTTTGCATTGGGGATGAGGTCATTGAATGGTCCCATATTGTTGAACTTTATCGTTCTACTCATGAGATGAGGTTGCGATTGGCTCCAAAACTTACTGAGAGGCACATTTTTCAAAAACCTTTGAGTAACATGAAAGTAAAGCGTGCCACACAGGTCCTGAGTGCCTCAGTCTGTCTTGCCATTCTATCCCTTGTTTATGCCAAGGAGCTTCCTGAGGCAGCCATGGCTACAGCCTATTTTTGTGATAGAATGGACAGACTTTTTGATTGTTTAAATAGCTCGCAATTCAAGAAGACGGCGCAGAAGTTGCGTCATGCAATTTTGAAAGGAGAATCTGAGATACTCGATTTCCTTCACCAACAACTCGCATGGATTTCAACATGGAAGTTCCAAAGTAGGAGGCGGCCACAAACCACCATAGGGTGGCAAGTTACAATAAGGAGTGTCCTCATGCTCTGGGATGAGCTTTCAAACAGCTATGACTTTAAATTCTTACTTACTCGACGCCTGCAGCAAGACCCACTGGAGAACATTTTTGGGGCAATAAGACAAATGCTGGGCTGCAATACAAACCCAAATGTGAATCAGTTCACCTCGGGACTGAAACACATCGGGATAAAAAAAACTGTTCAGACTCTCTAACAATGGAAATGTAGAGGATGAAAAGGCTGACCTCCTCAAGGAGTTGCCAATATTTTCGCACCATGAAAGTTCCATTGCAGACAATGTGGAATGTTTTCCAGTTGATAACTTCCCGCCACTAGAAGATATTTCTGAGCTGGCATCAGACATCAGGTCTAATATAATTGACGACTCGTGCACTTACTACGTTGGAGGCTATTTGATCAAACTTTTCCTTGAACAGACAACCCGCAGCTGTGGCTGTTCTAAGCTGCTAAAGGATGAGTCTGACAACTTGACCAGGCCTCACCAGTATTTTCTTATGCTTAAAGCATACCACGTGCCTGGGAAACTCTTCGGAAACCTAGTAGTACCATCACAGGCTGCCTTTAACTTTATTCAGAAACTAGAAAATCACTTTCTTGCCGTAATAGAGAGTGTAGCGCATGTTCGAGGAGTGTGTGCTGCCTTGTATCACACACTCTCAGAGCTGGGTGGTTTCAGCCTTTGCTCAGAGGAGTGTCACAAAAGGTTTTTAAAAATGTTTTGCCGAATACGCCTGTGTTGGCATGTTCGGTTCCTTAACCGGAACTTGGACAAAGTTCGGTTACACTCTTCGGTTGCTAGTAAGCAACTTGATAAGTTTAACTGTTAATAGCTTAATAGCGTATTAACAGAGGCGGTTGCCAAATCAAAAACAGAAATTGATTATTAATTGGGCAGTGTAGCTTGCACTCCAAACATGTGTTTTCTTTATTTCCAGGAAATGTGTATCACGGCCCCCTTACACAAATATTTATCCACTTTCTGCAGAATTTCTATAGAAAATAGTTTATAGAGGCATGGATGTTTGGAAGAAAATGTGTCCACTTCTGTACCCGTCTATATTTTTTTGGACGTTTTTTTTTCTGAAGTAATACTCCTGTCCTGAACAAATGTATTTCGGGGAATGTTTAGGGACGTTGAATCATGGTTGAATATCTATGGTTGAATCTTGTCAGATTCCGAATAGAGTTCTCATTGTTTTTTTGTTTTTTTTTTGTAATGGCTCACCCGCAGCGAGTTTCAGGCTATGCCATTTCGTGTGTTTTATATTAGCCGGTAATTTGGAATTTGTACTATCCGGTGTGTGCTTCGCCTGGTAATGATAGCGATGTCTTGTTTATTTCTGCACTTACTTACCGTGCCCGAGTCGGCGTGAAGGTGAATGGATCATTCAGCATGTTCCCTGTGGAAAGCTTTTGTAAACTTGACTCCGCTAAAAATCTATTACAAAGTGTACGATATGCCGAACTCCTTCATACTCATTTATTTTTGTGATTATCTATTTCTTATAAAACATACAGAGCTTCTGAAGTAAATAATGTACATATGAATGTGGTCCAATAAAATGTTTTCAAACCACTTACTGTTGTTGACCCCAAAACCTCCCAAAATGCTCCACCAGCCAGGAGTCAATGTGGCGATTATGTACTTCAATGTGTTCAATAAGTTGAACTTTTATTCGACACATTACACATTTTGTAAAACTTATATCGTATATTGCAAAACTTATAACATGAAAACAACACAAAAAAAAAAGAATCATTGGCTCCGGAGCCAAGGAGCTCCCGAGAGCCTAGCGAGGAGGGAGGCGAGAAGGAAAGAAAGAGAGAAAAAGAGAAGGAGAAGGGTACCAAAAAACCGAAACAAAAATGCCGAAACCGAAACTAACTTGACCGGAACCGGAACCAGATTGTGTTTAATACCGTCCGCTAAGAGCGCTAGTTGTCACTGCTCTATCTGGGCCGCTGGGGCCTATGGCAGTGTCCGCTCTTTACCTTGTGTATATTACTCTATGGTGAAACGAAGTATTGCTCGTCAACCACGATGGTTGGTTGATGCGCTGGCGGATTGATCGCCGATATCGTCTAAATGTCCAGACTATTTCGGCGATGTAAGAAGCTAAAAGTTGCGAGGAAACGTTGCTAAATTCTAGAATGGCGGCTACCGTGATAAGACAGAACCAGGGTCTTGTACCTCTGATGAGATCACCTAATTATCATGTCTGCCGCGTACCTTCGTGCCGTCTCTCACCAGCGCGCTTTTCGATGTTCACCGCATTGCACTGGAGTGCTAGGTGCAGCGGCTGACACGGGTGAGCGCCTGGGTTAGCGCGATAGGCTCAGTAATTATGATTATAATGCAACCAAATGCAAAGCAGCAAGCGAGCTGGACAAGAATGACGATAATAATCCCTGGAGAACGGGAATAAGAGGGACAAAGGACAAACGCAAAACTCCAAACACAGCTAGGTGACTGGTGCGCGACCGAAAAAACCCGCCTGGTCCGGGTACCCGGACCAGGCGGGTTTTGTGGTTACTTTTTGGCTAATTTTTGACGTAAATTCTGGCGATTTTGTAGCCAAATAAATGTCTGTGTTTACAAAGAGGCAGACAGGTCACAAATCCCTTTTAAATTAGGACGAGCTTTAGAAGAATGCTAAGGAAGACCTTGCCCTTTCTGGTCATCACAATACTGAACGAGGGGTCAACCACAACGCTAAGACGAACAAAAGCCTTAGCTTCGTAAAAATCGGTCTTTATTAGCCAATTTATTTGTTTTGCGCGTGATGTTTCGTCACCCAAGGAACTACGCATACCTAGTCTTCCTTGCATCTGTCCTCCATGCCGTAAAGCGTGTCAACAAGTTGTCTGAAAGCAATGTTGCAGACGGTGGGGCGCTCTCAGGAGCTTGAAAATCGAAACTTCCCCTCGAAGATCAGAGGAATCACCGAGAACGCTTCTTTCATTTCTTGAAACAAGTGGCAGTTCAGCGGCAACGACGGCTACCATATGGTCCGTCCGCACTTCGAAGGCAAAATTCCACCAATTCAGAAGACACAGAGAGCGCCAAGAGCCGCGCAGAAATCTTGAGACTTCCACTTCACCTTTTTGGATGTCCTTTTTATGAGCTCGAATCAGGAATCCTGCACCTGCAGTCTGTTTAAGCACCTTGGACCATACGACCCGCCTAAACTTTTGGCACGGAGCGGCCGCTTACAAATGCCTTTCTGGCGACTACCATTTTTTTTTCACCACTTAGGAGGTGCTCTCAATATCTTATCATTTCCAATATAGAACGCGGATTCCGAGCGCGTGTTCTCTCAAGTTTCGTTAATTAAGGAACCGAACAAAGGTCGACGTCCTTGTGGCCATTTTGAGACTAAAATTGGGACTGTGACTGCAAAAAAAAAAAAAAAAAAAAAAAATCCTCGACATTTGACGTGCCGATTGAAATTCTTCAGCAAATGATGTAATAGCATTTTTTCACGTTGATTGCGGGTGCACAGAGCCACATTTTTTCCTACTTTTTCTTGTTTGCACAGAGCCTAATTTTTAGATGCTTTATGACATAGTTCTTTTTAGAAATATGGTGGGGACATGATTAGTGAAAAAATAATTAAAATGTCTACATTTCGCTCTTTTTTACTTGCTTTTTGGCTACTTCTGTCCACCCCACAGCCACAATTCTGCGCTCCAGTGTTCGCATTTCATTCGAACCCAATAGTGCAGAAACATGACCATGTCGAATTGACCCCTCCAGCCCGTAGCGTCGGCTGTGTCTGTACTTAAAGACGCACTGAAATAAAATATTTTTTTTTATTTGAGACACATGTATTTTTTTATATTTTTTTCCACGTAAACATTTTTTTTGTGCAATATTTACTTTGTTAGACGCAGCTTAGGTGGAAGTAGCCAGCCCCACCCTGGAACGTAGCTATGAGTACGTTCCATTTTTAGGCTCTTATTGGTTGGAGAGATGATTTACGTGTTGATTATTTGTTGTAATTTTATGTCTCGGTGCCAAAGTAGTATTTATATGGACAATATATTATTCATCTTTGAAAAACAAATAATCTAGTTAGAGTCATGATGGCAATGCAATTAAATGCAAAGGTGCAAACGAGCTGAACAAGAATGACGAAATCAATCCCTGGTTCAATACCAGGACCGCGATGATATTTTCGGTAGCGTATCATTCACCTAGATGTGTTTGGAGAGTTGCGTCTATTCTTTGTCCCCTACTCCGGGGATTATTTTCGTCATTCTTGCCAGCTTGCTTGCAGCTTTGCATTTAATTGCATTATCATCATAACCTTAAAAATGTAAGCCGTTGATCCTTGTTGGTGCTAGACTGATGGCAGTTGATAAAACCCGTTTGCCCTACTGACGTCATGGTTAGCTCAGTTGGTAGAGCGCTCCACTGTAAATGGAGAGGTCGCTGGTTCGATACCATTATCAGGCGGGATTTTTTGGTCGCGCACCTGATTTGTGTTTGTCCTTTTTCCCCTTGTTTGCTCTACAGACGTATAACTCTTGGTTAGCTGGCTAGTGTTCGGGCTAGTGTGAGACTTCCGGACGCGATAGCGAACGGACGTGTCATGCATCGCTCCTCGCCAGCGGCGGCGGCCGTTATCGGCCGCGGTGATAACGTTGCCCCCGTTTTGAAGGAGCATCGTCTGCAGCTGCCGACATTGCCCACCGGTGAAGCGGCGAAACCCACCGTGGTCCTTCACGCTGACCTCGAAGGGAGACCGTACCGCCTCGAAGACTTCCGGGACCCGTTGAAACAGGTGGGCGTCTTGTCAGACGTGGCGGGTCTGGGAGCCTACCAGATGAGCCACGTCTGGCTGCTCAAGTTGCGGACGCCGGAGGCCAAGGCGAAGCTGCTGCAAGCCGGGAGTCTTCAGGTGAAGGGGAAGACGTGTCAGCCGGTCGACCCCAAACGGAGGGAGCTTCGCGTCAAGCTCCACTGGGTTTCCTTTGACGCGCCGGTGGACTCGATACGGCGAGCCTTCGAGCCTTTCGGGGAGGTGAAGGAGGTTTCCCGAGAGAAGTGGAAGGTCGACGGCTTCGTTGACGTCGACTCCACTACCGTCGTTATACGCCTGGCCCTCAAGGAGGGCGTCGCCCTCGAGAGCCTCCCGCACCAGCTCCGTGTCAGCGGAGGCAACGTTTTGATCGTAGTTCCCGGGCGGGCGCCAATATGTCTCCGTTGCCGTCGCACGGGGCATATTCGCCGCGACTGCCGGGCTCCCCGGTGCACAGAGTGTCGCGCCTTTGGACACGAGGCCCGGGACTGCGTCAAGACGTACGCCCGTGCGGCCTCCAGCAAGGTCACTGAGGAGTCCACGGAGCTGCTGATGAATGAGGACGAGGCTGAGTAGGCTGCGACCCCGGCTACGTCAACGGCGAGCGTAGCGACCGCTCCCGAGGGTGTCGCGGAGCCGTCCGATGTCAATGCCGCGCCGGTTGCTGGAACGGCTGGCCGGGCCGAGTCTCCGGACGTTCCGTCCGTCGAGGCGTCGAGACGTGGGAACACGGCAGCCGGCACGAGCGACGTCGCCGCCCCTGACTTGTCAGGGGAATCGCCCATGGAAGACCAGGACTCTTCGGCAAGCGGTGCAGCCTCAAAGCGGACGCGGGACGACGGAAGCGGGGTCCCTAACGTGACGAGCCAGGAAGAGCCACCCTCCAAGGCAGCGCCCCTCTGGAGAAGACGGCTCCCTGTCAAACAGAACATTCCTGTGAAGGACCAGAAAGGAGCGCAACCATCCCCCCAACCTGGCGTGGCCGGTGGCTTTCGGACGTCGAAGTCCGCACGTCGGACGGCCAACTTCTCAGAACTTAAGGTAGGCACCATACGGTC